AAGAGGCACTCAGAGCCTATCAGAGGAGTCTCTTTTCACCAAAGGACTGTGCACCTTTCTTTCTGGTGGTTTTAGGTTGCTTTCTGAAAGGGGTGAATTTGTGCATGGGCCCTTTAAGAGCCAGCTTTAATTTCTTTGTGAACCAGCTTTTCTGGGGGTATTCCCCAATGTTGTTAGTAGCTAGCAAAGTCAGATATTATGCCACTCGTCTCGGTTGTGCTGGGTCCAAAAAACGCCTACAGTGGGCATGTTCCCCTGCTCAGGTCCCCCACTCCTCCAAGGAAGGCTGCATACCTTTGGGCTGCTCCTGGGCAGCTATGAAGCATTGCAGCTTGTGAAGGCGGCGTTTTTTCTCTCCAGAAGGGAGTTTCTCCCTCTTCCACCTCAATTAGGATTGTTGTTTGTTGCAGGGGTTCCTCTTGTCCAGTTTTCAGTTCTCTACCGGGGGTAATTTTTCCAAGAGTGGTTGTAAATTGGCTGTGTCCACAGAAGGAGGTGAGTTCAGAGTCTGCCTACGCTGCCATCTTGACTTCTCTGTCCACTGAATTTGTAATTTTAAAACTCTCAAAAAAGAAATCTCCAGGCCCAGATGTTTTTACTGGAGAATTTTACCAAATGTTTAAAAAGGAACTAATATCCGGGGCCAGCTTGGTGGTGTAGTGGTTGAGTTCATGCGCTACGCTTCGGTGCCTGGAGTTCATGGGTTTGGATCCTAGGCACGGACATACACACTGCTCATCAAGCCATGCTGTGGCAGCGTCCTACATACAAAATAGAGGAAGATTGGCACAGATGTTAGCCCAGGGCAAATCTTCCTCATCAAAAAAAAAAAAGGAAAGAAAGGGAACTAATATTAATTCTACACAATCTCTTACAGAAAGTAGAAATGGAGGGGGCATTTCCCTATTAGTTTTTATTTAGAAATACCCTGATACCAATACCAGACAAAGACAATACAAAAAAGAGAGAGAGAGAGAGAGAAAGAAAACTATAGACCAATATCTGTAATGAATATAGACACAGAAGTCCTTAACAAAATCTTACAAATAGAATTCAGCAATATATGGAGAATTATACACCATGACAAGTGAGGTTTATTCCAGGGATGCAACACTGGCTCAGTGTTTGAAAATCAATCCATGTAATCCATATTAACAGACTAAAGAAGAAAAATCACACAATGATATTGATGCAGAAAAGCATTTGACAAAATTGAACACCCATTCATGATAAAAACTCTCAAAAATAGGGATAGAAGGGAACTTCCTCAACTTGATTTTTTTAAAAGTCTACCCCCCCCCAAAAAAAACCCCAAAAAACAAAAAACTACAACTAACATCATACTTAATGGCTAACGACTGAATGCTTTCTCTGGGAGACTGGGAACAAAACAAGAATGTCCACTCTCACCACCTTTATTCAACATAGTGCTTGAAGATCTAGCCAGTGCATGAAGGCAAGAAAAGGAAATAAAAAGCATACAGATCAAAAAGGAAGAAATAAAACTGTCCCTGTTTGCAGCTGACCTGATTGTCTGCTTAGGAAATTCCAAAGAATCTACAAAAAAACTCCTAGAAATAATAAGTGAGCTCAACAAGGTCTCAGAAAACAAGAGCAACGTACAAAAGTCAAGTGCACCCACTTCATATCATATGCAAAATTAACTTAGAAGGGATCAAATACCTAAATGTAGGAACAAAAACTCTAAAACTCTTAGGAGAAAATATAAGTATATCTTCTTGACTTTGGACTAGGCAATAATAGTTTCTTAGATATGACACTAAAAGCACAAGCAACCAAAGAAAAAATAGATATATTGGACTTCACAAAAATTAAAAACTTTCAAGTGAGCACTATCAAGAAAGTGAAAAGACAATCCACAGAATGGGAGAAAATATTTGTAATTCATATACCTAATAAGGGTCTAGTATCTAGAATTTATAAAGACCTCTTACAATTGAACAATGAAAAGACAAACATCAAAGGATTTGAATAGGCATTTCTCCAAAGAAGATATACAAATGGCCAATAAGTATGTGAAAAGATGCTCAGCATCATTAGTCATAAGGGACATACAAAATGAAACCACAATAAGGTACTACTTCACTTCTTACTAGGATGGCTGTCATCAGAAAGACAGACAATAACAAGTGTTGGCAAGGATGTGGAGAAACTGGAATCCTCTTACATTGCTGGTGAGAATGTAAACTGGTGCAGCTGCTGTGGAAAACAGTTTGGCAGTTTCTCAAAAAGTTAAACGTAGAGGTACCACACACCCAGCAATTTCATCCCTATATATATACCCACAAGAAATGAAAACATGTGTTCGTACAAAAACTTGTACATCAATGTACAGCATTATTCATAATAGCCCAAAAGTGGAAACAACCCAAATATCCTTCAACTGATGAATGGATAAACAAAAGGTGGTATAAGCCATGCAGTGGAATATCATTCAGCTGTAAAAACGAATGAAGTACTGGTACGTGCTACAACATGGATGGACCTTGAAAACACTATGCCAAGTGAAAGAAGCCAGATGCAAAAGGCCACGTATGATTCCGTTTGTATGAAATGTCCAGAATGGAAAAATCCATTGAGACAAACGTGGATTAGTGATTGCCAGGGCTTGGGGGAGAGGAGAATAGGGAGTGACTCCTAATGGGAATAGGGTTTCTCTTTGGGGTGATGAATATATTCTGGAATTAGTACTGATGATGGTTACACAACCTTGTGTATATACTAAAAATCACTGAATTGTCCACTTTAAAATGGTGAATTTTATGGCATGTGAATTAAATCTCAATAAAAATAAAATTTAAAAAATCGATTGTGTTTATGGAACAAATGGGGCAGAAATAGCCCCACACAAGAACTGAATTGTAAAAACAATTCAATGGAGGAAGAATAGTCTTTTCAATAAATGGTGCTGGCGTAATTGAGTATCCACAGGAAACAAACAAACAAACAAACAAACCTTGACCTAAACCTCACACCTATACAAAAATTAACCCAAAATGCACCATAGATTTAAGTGTAAACATAAAACTATAAAAGTTTTAGGAGAGGGGCCGGCCCGGTGGTGCAAGCAGTTAAGTGCACGCGCTCTGCTGCGGCGGCCCGGGGTTCGCCGGTTCGGATCCCGGGTGCGCACCGTGGCACCGCTTGGCAAGCCGTGCTGTGGTGGCGTCCCATATAAAGTGGAGGAAGATGGGCATGGATGTTAGCCCAGGGCCAGTCTTCCTCAGCAAAAAGAGGGGGATGGGCAGATGTTAGCTCAGGGCTGGTCTTCCTCACACAAAAAAAAAAAGTTTGAGGAGAAAACATAGAAAAACATCTTTGGGACCTAGGACTTGGTGAAGAGTTCTTAGGGATGATGCCAAAACCATGATCCATAAAAGGAGAAAAATCAATAAATTAGACTTCATCAAAATTAAATCTTTTGCTCTGTGAAGACTGGGTGAAGGTGAAAAGACAAACTACAGACTGGGAAAAAATATTTACAAACCACAGATCTGACAAAAGACGCATGTCAAAACTCAGCAGTGGAAACCAGCAATCTAATTAGAAAATGGACAAAAAACAAATGACATTTCACCAAAGAGGATATATGGATGGCAAATAAACACATGGAAAGACATTCTATATCACCAGCCACTAGCAAAATGGAAATTAAGACCACAACAAGATATAGCTATATGCCTAATAGAACAGCGAAAATAAAAAATAGTGACAATACCAAATGCTCACAAGGATGCACAGAAACTGGATCTTTCATATGTTGTTGGTTGGAATGTAAAATGACACAATCACTCTGGAAAATAGCTTGGCAGTTTCTTAAAAAACTAAACACACATTTGGTTTAGGACCCAGCCAATGCATTCCTGGGCATTTATCTCAGAGAAATGAAAACTCAGGTCCACAGAAAAACCTGTTTGTGTGATTTTTTTTTTAGCAGCTTTATTGATAATAATCCCACGCTGAAATCCTATAAAAGGGTAATGGTTGAGTAAACTGCAGTCCATCATACCATGGAATACTACTCATCAGTGAAAAAGAATGAACGATTGATACACACCACAACTTGGATGGATCTCAAGGGCATTATGTGAAGTTAAGAAAGCCCATCTCAAAAGGTCACATACTATATTATTTCCTTTATATAACATTCTTGAAATGACAAAATTACAGAGAAGGGGAACAGATAAGTGGTTGCTAGGGGTTAAGCGTGGTGGGGGAGGGGGCGCGTAACTGTAAAGAGTTAACACTAGTGATGTCTTTGTGGTGACAGAATAGTTCTGTATCTTGGTTGTAATGGTGGCTACATGCATCTACACATGTGACAAAACGGCAGGACTGTACACATTTCATACCAAAGTCAGTTTCCTGGGTTTGATATTGTATTATAATTATGTAAGATGTAACTATTGGGGGACACTGGGTAAAGGATACACCTGACCAATCGGTACTATTTCTGCAACTTTCTGTGAATCTATCATTATTTTTTAACAAGCTGTTTAGGCTATGTAGACACAGGCATCCTAGGGTTGGTGGGTAGATAATATTCATGTTTATTAATTAATATCTTATGAGAAAACACTGCCAAATATGGAGGCATCTCATTTACTCGGCACCCACAAGCTATGAAATGCTGCACAGAATTTAATTTCCCCCACACATAGACTTATTTCTCTAAACAATGTTAACGCATTTAATGGGCATTTGTCAAAACGTATTAAAATTGTCCTTGCTTTTTTTGTACAAACAAACAAAAATATAAGACAGAATTCAATACCAGAACCGGTTCAGGGATTGGGGGCCTGCCAGGCAGTCAGTCACAAATATTGACTCCATTTCTTTTCTTTGAAGAAAACTCAGGTTTTATTGAATAAGAATGTTTATGAGCAACTCAAATCTTTATGAAAAACCTTTATTAAATAAAACTCTGGCAGAAGATGCCATCTCGTCCCCACCAGGCCCACAAAGCGTTCTGCTGAAGAAATTCTCCAGGCTCCGTCAAGGGCAGCAGGGCCAAGACACTGGACGCAGGGTCCAGCGTCCTTGGGCTGGAAATCTGGCTGTCACAATTGTTGCTGGGCTCTCAGTAAAGAAATGTATCTTTGCACCCATTTTTCCTTCGGCTGTGCACAGACTTTCTTGCCTCTTTTGGTAGTGAGTCTGTGGAAAAGAGACGCTAACAGTCAAAACTGAGAACTTTTGACCCCTGGAAAGGGATGGAGAGAGTGGGGCAGCCGCTTGTCTTCCCGCCTTGCCGTACCCTGTCCCACTGTCCCAGTTCCCTCTTTTGGTTCTTGCCCTCTCTCCCCTCCGTTACCCTGCTTTCTGCTGGAGACCACGCTTCCAGGCCCACCTCCCCTGGGAAACATTCTCCAACAACTCTAGTCCGAAGCATGCAAACTGTACTAGGCCTCTTAACTCTTTTCTTTTAATATGACAGCTTTATTGAGATATAATTCATACACCATACAACTCGCCCATTTAAGTGTATAATTATAATTCACTGGGTTTCAGTATATCCATAGATGATGTAATCATCACCACTGTCAATTTTAGAATATTTGCATCACCCCAAAAAGGAAGCTCATATCCATCATGCCACTTAATTCTTAACCACGTTATCATGGTTTTTCGCCATGCTGCTTACAGATGGTTCCTGCATTCCACGCCGTGAGCTCATGAAGAGGGGGGTCGTGGTTGATGGCCCTGAATCTCCTCCAGCCTTGAGCACCCTGAGAGCACTCAGAAATGACGAGAGCCTAGGTCGGGGGCGCTCTGGCCTGGAGCACCTTGCAAGGCCCGGCACACGCAGGGGAGAAGAGCCAAAAGGATGAGAAAATAAGGGAGAGGAAGGGCTCTGTGCACGTTGAAAGCGTGGCTGCCATTTCTTTGACATCATTCCCATTGAGGGATGGGGGGCTATGTCCCCTCCCCTTGAGTTTAGGCCAGGCTTAGGGACTGGTCGAGCAATAGAGTCTGACAGAAGTGATGCTATGTGACTTCCTAGGCTAAGCCATAGAAGGTGGTGGAGCTTCTGCCTGGTTCACTGGAGCACTTTTGCTGGATCCTTGAACTACCTTGTAAGGAGTCTTATCCCCCCAGGTCCCACACTGTGAGGAAGCCCAAACTAGCCCCACAGAGAGATCACACAGAGAGGCCCCGAAGAGAGAGAGATGCCGCCATCCCCAGCTGTTTTGGCTCCAGCACCATCTGACTACAACCCCACAAGAGATACCACACCAGAACCACCCAGCCAAGCCCTTCTGGAATTCCTGGTCCCCAGAAACCAGGAGAGAGAAGAAAATGATCGTTGTTGTATTAAACTACTAAGTTTTGGGGTGGTTCACTATGCAGCAATAGATAATTGATAGTAGCCTCTCACCCTCCTCTTACAAACGAGGAAACTTGACTTGCCCAAGGTCACACAGCTTGTAAGTGACAGAACCCCTGCTTTGAGCCCAGCTCAGGGCTCTTTGCCAGCTGTTGGTTAAGTGTTGATGTCTGTAAAGCTCCAGAAAGCCAATCAAGACACAAAGGAGAGAACCCAGGGCATCTTGAGCCCCGGAGCGCCCCTTCCATATCTAGGCACTTGAATGTGTATTTCTTAACTGTCTCAAAACAACGCCATTCAGGTTTGTCTCGGGGGTGCCTTCTCTCTCCTTGTGCACCGTGCTCCGATGCTCAGGCACCCCATGTCCTCAGGAGAGTGACCAGCCCTCCCTGTAGATGTGCACTTAAAGGCAGCTTCCATTTGTGGAAGGTTTACTGTGTGCAGGTGCAATGCTAAATGCTTTGCATATATTATCTCATTTAGTCCTGCCGGGGACCCTATGAGGTGAGTGTCATCCCTCCTGTTACCGACGAGCCCAGCATGACCTGGCTCCTGTCTGCCTGTCTGCCTTGTCGTGACATGTTCATTCTCCTCCCACGCAGCTGCTGCTCTCTGCCTGGCGCATCCATGCACCTCCCTGCCCCGTACACCTGGGCCACCCCCCACTTATTCTGAGGGTCTTGGTGTAAATGTCACTTTCTCTGGGCGACCCTCCCGACACCAAGTTAGACCCTCCTGTGATTGTGATGAGGGGTGGCAGAATATCTTACCCCAAAATATCCCACTGTGGGAGATCACGATTTGGCCATCCTAAAATATATCTCTTTACCTTGGTTGTTTTCTCTGAGGGACATTTGACCTCCCCTACTAACTGCTTAAAGAATTTGACATGGTGGCTCCTTCCTGGAATAGATCTATCATGATGGCTGTAAAGATAATGTAGGATAAATGTTACAATAGGAAAGGCACCAACAAGCCCATCTTATCAGAAGTTCTGTCTCTCTGGCCACATTCTCTGGATGGCCCTGCAAGGAGTTGCCAGAAAAACATTTACATTTATAAGGGAAATCTCCATTTGTAAAGGTATCTCCCTCTCTGTTTTGGGAAGGGGGGGGATGGCCTCATTTCTAGAGGCTTATCAACGTGGAAGGTGAGGCCTTAAATCTGCATAATAACCTTACTCTTGTTTACTGTGCTTTAGTGGTAATCTCCTGTAACTGACTCCCCCCACCCCCAACATCCTCCTTTGTCATTGGCTGAACATGGTATTTAAGACGAGAATTTCTGCTATTGTGTTGAGAAACGCAGTGTCCCTGCTTTCTCCCATGTATACATGTTATTAAACTTGGTATTATTTTCTCCTGCTAACCTGTCTTGTTGATTATTTGGTCAGCCATAAGAACCTTAAGGAAAAGGGCAGAGGGAGATTCTCCCTCTTCCCCTACACCACTTTGGCATAAGAATTATTTTGAGCTAAAAACATTAAAACAAACAAACAAACAGGGGGTGCAACAAGGGTGTTCTGATCTCCCCTTTTCTTCCTGAAAGCAGGAGATAAAACACCCATGTTTTATGAAAAATGTCCTCCCTGTACAAGGAGGAAAGAAATATTCTTATCCCCAGAGACAGTCAAGGCAAAGAGAATTCTGTACAAACAGACCTTGTTAAGATAACTCTTACCTTGAGCCCCCGTAAGTTTTAATTACTTTTCCACAATTGCCTCTCTTTGTTCAACCTGGTATAAAGGCATTTAGATTTGCCACTTCTCTGGGTCGTCGTTTTCCAGTGGGGACTCCCACGTACATGTAAAAATCTATGTGCTTTTCTCCCATTAATCTGTCTTATGTCAAGTTAACTCTCAGGCCCAGCCGGAGACCTGAAGAGCGCAGATATCAAGTTTCATCTCCCTACAGTGACAAGCTCCCTCCTGCTCTCTCTCCTGCTGCCTCCTTCAAGCACCCATCACAACTGTGATGAACCATTTTGTGCAAATGTCTTTTAACGCCCCCTTTCTGATGCTAGATGTAAGGTCTCTAAGGGCTGTCTTGTTCTCTCTTTCATACCCAGCACTTACCACAGCGCCTGGCATGTGCCAGGCACATGGTAGGAAAGTTAGGAAATCAAAGCTCAAGGTCACACTTGTTAGTGGCAGAGGCAGAGTGGCAACCCAAGTGACCAGATTCCCACCTGAGACTCATCCTAGCACTGTGGGGTCTGCCCAGCATCTATCCGATTACGTGGGTGGGAGGGACCCTGAAAGCACAAACGAGGAATACTCACATCACAGCCTGCTGAGAGCAGCTGCTCCTGGTGAATTCATAGGAACGCACATATTTCCAGGGAAGGATCTTGTGGCTGTACTGGAAGCAGCAGAACTTGGCCACATCACTGCCACCTGAGAAACAGAGGAAGGAGCTTGGAGACGCGCCTTTGCTTCCACTCCCAGTCAGCCTGGGAGGGGAGTGGGGCAGCTACATACGTATGGCAGCTCCGAGATGGACACTCAGGATGAAAACCAGGAGAACTAGGGGAGCCACCGGGAAGCTCTTCATGGTGCTGCCACCCAGGCCCTTCACAGCCTTCTGCCCAATTCCTCCTGTCTCAGCCAGACTCCCTTTTATAGGGCTGAGCGGTCCCTGAAGATAATTCCAGAGAATTTTGTGGTTAAAGACAAAAGCTCCTCTTTTGACCCTACAGCAGAGGAGCAACCTGATACCCATGAGAAGGACATTAGAAAGTGAGAACAGGTCATCTGGGGGAAGGGAGGAGCCAGCACCCACTGGAGTCTCCAGCTCACTGCTGTTCTCTGAGTCAGCACTTCACTTCCTTGTTTGAAAACACAAGCCGAGGAAATAGTAATTCCAGTGTACTGACTTAAATTACTTCATAACACAATTGGTTGTTCCAGAGAGATTTCTGGCTCTTGGCTAAAACTTTTTTGCCTCCTAAAGATTGCTTATCTCTCGCTGGTGTCTGGACAGTCTGGGACACGAGCACAGAGCAGCCCATCCACAGCAATGGATGTTCAGGGACGACGCAGCGTATGCCCTGCCTGTGTTCTTAGTGCAACTGATGACCCGACATGCAGTGCCAGTGCTGCCTGTGGACAGTTAGAGCCGTCTCACCTGGTTTAGACCAAACCAGATAGAACATCACAATGGCCTGGAGCTTAAAATATATGTATATAATCCCTGTCTCCACTTTGCAGCTCCTGGGTCAGGCTCTTTGGGAGGGGGATCCAGGAATCTATATTCTAGCCGGATTTGGCTAAAATGGGGAAAGCGAATTCTGGAAAGGGGCAGTGACTTCTGCCAGGAGAGTCTCTGGGAGGGGTAGACCAAGACTTTCAGATTCATGTTTCATGACTGCACTCCATCATTCCCACCTCCCAACATGCCTCTGGGCTTTAAAAATTTGAGTTTAAGGTTAAAAAAAAAAGGCCACTAGCCATCCGGAACCATGGAATTTTTCAGAGTTAGCTGGGACCTTAAAGCTCATCTAGTCCAACCCTTTAAAACACACCCCCCCAGAGTCATCCTGACTGTTTTGACTACTCCGAGTAATGGGGAACTCACTGTTGAACTCATCTCAACCTAAGACAGCTCTGACTGTGACAAAGTTCTTTCAAGTTCTTTTTAAAATTTGCCTGAAATCTATATTCCCATTGCTTCTACCTATTGACCCAGATCTATAGAAAAATGCCTAATGTTTCTCTTCTCTCTTTTTGGAAGGTAAGGCATTTGAGGTTTAGGCAGATTTGAAGACCGTTGTTTTAGTTTGGATTCCCCTAGAAGTGGCCCTGAGATAAGGATCCCAGTGCAAGTAATTCATGAGGGAGGTGACTCTAGGATACACCAGCAGAGGAGGGGGAAGCGAGGTGGAGAAGGGAGGGCACTAGTCCCGGGCAGTGACCAAGCAGGTTACCACCACGGGCAGCTGAAGTTTGGTTCCACTGGGGGATTCTGGGAGCCGGTGCTGGAGTTTGGTTCTACCAGGGGATTCTGGGGGCTCAGAACAAGCCTGAGTTGGCCCACCGGCAGGTGAGGAAGTGAGGATATTTACCCCACAGGCTTCTGCATGTCCGTGGTTGAGGGCTGCGTCTCACTCCCGGCTTGTCCCCTGAGCAGACTGAGCGTGCTCTGTGATCAGAGAAAAGGCCCGCAGGCAGAGCGGAGGGCCTCCTCAGCAAGGAGGCTTCAGCTTCCAGAAGTGAAGATGAGAGGATATGGGCAGGGCCCCAGTGGCCCTGCTACAACCATTACCATGTTTGCCCCAGAACTGGTCTCTTCTTTGGGCTAACCTCCTCTACGCCCTCAGTTGGCCCCACACCATTCTAATGGCCACCTTCACACACCAGATTCGACTTTAACGAACTGTGCTTTAATGAGCTACATTGTGCTGGGGACCCAAATGTTTCATAAACGGTACAAAATAAACACTAATCATAAGGGTTGATAAATAGCTGATAAATTGGACTATATTAAAATTTGGACCTTTTATTCACTAGAAAACACCAGTAAGAGAGTGAAAAGGCAATCTTCGAGCTGGGAGATTTTTGCAATTGAATAGTTGAATAGTGTCCTCCCCAAATTCGCATCAACCCAGAACTTCAGAATATGACCTTATTTGGAAAATAGGGTCTTTGCAGCTGTAATTGTTAAAAGAAGGTCATATTGGATTAGGACGGGCTCTTGTGATATTGTGATTTACCGTAAGTAACATATTTTTGGTCTACATTCCCTGGTACACAGCTCCTAAAACTCTTGTAACTTTCTAAGCAGTGGGAGCATTTTTTATTTTAAAATTGGTCTTTTGTCCTCAGTTCTTGAAATAGCTCCAGAGCAATAAGGTGAAAGGAATGTCCTGTTATTTGTAACAAACCTCTTTCAACAACACTTAAGTTTATATTGATAACATGATTTTTGGAAAGCCCTTAGGTAGCCGCAGGATGGGGGCTGCTTGCCAGGGGAACCAGCCATGTGATGAGATGGTTGGAACTTGGAGACCTACCCCCTAATCTCTGGGGAAAGGAGAGGGGCTGGAGGTTGAATTAATCCCCAGTGGCCAATGATTTAATTAATTATACCTACATAATGATGCCTCCATAAAAATCCCAAAAGAATGGGATTCAGAGAGCTTCTGGGTTGGTGAACACATGGAGGTGCTGGGAGGGTGGTGCACTGGGAGAGGGCATGGGAGCTCCGTGCCCCTTCCCATCCCTTGCCCTCTGCGTCTCTTCGTCTGGCTGGCCCTGAGTTATATCCTTTATACTAAATTGGTAATCTAGAAAATAAATCTAGTTTTCTTGCATTCTATAAGCCACTGTAGCAAATTATCAATGGGGGTCGTGAGAACCTCTAATCTATAGCTGGTTGGTCAGAAGCACAGGTGACAACCTGGACTTGCTATTGGCATCTGAAGTGGGGGAGCAGCCTTGTAGGACTAAGCCCTTAACCTGTGGGATCTGATGCTATCTCCAGGTAGATAGTGTCAGAACTGAGTTAAATTGTAGGATTCTCAGCTGGTGTCTGAGAATTGCCGGGTGTGAGGAAAACCCTCCCACATCTGGTGTCAGAAGCGCATTGTTGAGAGTAGAGTGCTGTAGTGAGTAGACAGACAACAGAAGAGTTTTTCCCTTTCAGTTCTAAATCCAATGACTGGTGTCCTCATCAGAAGGCCGTGTGAAGAGACGGAGACACACAGGGAAGAAGCCATGTGAGGGCAGAAGCAGAGATCAGAATGACGTGGTTGCGAGCCCAGGAATGCCATGGAATGCCGAGAGCCACCAAAGATTGTGGAAGGGGCAAGGAAAGATTCTTCCCTAGAGCCTTCAGAGGGAGTGTGGCCCTGCCCACACGTTGATTTCAGACTTCTAGCCTCCAGAACCCAGAGGGAATAAATTTCTGTTGTTTTAAGCCACCTGGTTGTGGTAATTTGTTACAAAGCCCTAACAAACTCATACAACATGCATCTGTAAAAGGGCCAGAATTCAGAATACATAAAGAACGCCATAACTCAACAAAAAAGACAGACAACACAATAGAAAAATGGCTGAAGTTGAAACACTTTACAAAAGAAGAAACCCAAACAATGAATAAAAAGGGGCTTAATATTAGTCATTAGAGAAATGCAAACTTGAACCTCAATGCGTACAACTCCCACACCCACCAGAATGGCTAAAATGAAAAAGATGGAGCACACCAAAAGTGAGCGAGGATATGCGGCGCTGGGAGCTCACAGACTGCGGCGGGGAGTGGAAGATTGTGGGCAGTGTTCCCTGAAGCTGAACCTGTGCACGCCCTAGAACCCCAGTCCCGCTCCTCGGCGCACACCCATCACAGATGTGTACCCACGCTCACCAAAGGCGTTGCTCCTATTAGCCTGAAACCTGAAACTACCCAAATATCCACCAACAGTGGAACGGAAAATAAATTGTAGTTTATTAACGTAATACAACGATATCATACAACAATGAGAATGAACTATGATTACACTGTGGGAGATCAAGATTTGGCCATCCTGAAATATATCTCTTTACCTTGATTGTTTTCTCTGAGGGACATTTGACCTCCCCCACTAACTGCCTAAAGAATTTGACATGGTGGCTCCTTCCTGGAACAGATCTTCTATCATGATGGCTGTAATGATAATGTAAAATAGATGTTACAATGGGAGGGGCACCAAGCCCCTTTTATCAAAAAACTCTGTCTCTCCCTGACCACATTATCTATAGATGACCCTGAAAAGAATCGTCTTCCTGCCCTCTGAAGTCTCAGGCCACTACCCGCCCCCAACACGCTCCTCTCCTTTAGCTGCAATACTTAAGCAAGCAGCTTAGACAGAGGGACGAGTTGCTCATTTCTGAGTTTCTCCCATGTATACATGTGATTAAACTTGGTATTATTTTCTCCTGCTAACCTGTCTTGTTAATTATTTGGCCAGCCATAAGAACCTTAAGGGAAAGGGCAGAGGGAGATTCTCCCTCTTCCCCCAACAACACGTAACCATGTAGATGTATCTCATGACCTAATATTGAGTATAGAAGCCAAATATGAGAAATATTGCAGGATTCCGTGTATATAAAGTACCAAAAAAGCAAAGTTAATCTGTAAAGATGGAAGTCAGAACAGTGACTACCCTCTGGGGGTAGGGACTGGACAGGAGGCCCATGGGGGGCTCCAGGGGACTGGTGTGCTCTATTCCTTAATCTGGGTGCTGAGACACCCTTCACCCTTGTGAAAAGTCATTGAGCTGTACTCTTAGGATTTGTGCACTTTTCTGTATGTGAATTACATTTCAATAAATTAGAAATGGGAAGGAAATTATATGGTGAAGAAAATATAACAAATAACTACAGTTAAGGAAATGTTTCATCGGAGCCGTGACCTTCCCGTTTTCCTTCCTTCTGTTACGGCACCAGGTCCGTTTTTGCCCGCTGCCCAGAAAGCCAATCACTGAGACGACCAGATTGCGGAGAGAGAAGGTTTAATCACAAGGCAGCCAAGTGAGGAAAACGGGAAAACAAGTCTCAAACCTGCCTCCCCGAAAATAGGGACTCAGGGGTATTTATGCCGACGGGGGCAAGGGGGTCTGAAAGGATTGGAGGTGAGGAGAGATGAGG